CAGTGATTGTTTTAAAAAGCTGATTTTAAAACAGCTGTGGCTGTTGGAGATGCCCAGCGTGTAACTGTCCTGGTTCCCGTGTTCATAGCTGTCCTGGCTCCCATGTGTGTAGACTCTCATGTATGCAGCTGTCTTGGTTCTCATGTGTGCAGCTGTCCTAGCTCCCATGTGTGTAGTTGTCCTGGCTCCCATGTGTGTAGTTGTCCTGGCTCCCATGCATGTAACTGTCCTGGATACCATGAGTGTAGTTGTCCTGGCTCCCCATAGGCAGGCACTCTGGCTTCCTGATTCTGCTGCGCTTTGGATGAAATAGAAAAGACTTAGCACAAATGCAGCTGCGTAAGTTAGTAAGCATCCCTGGGTTCATTCTTACCAGCAAACAAGAGATTAGAGCTGTACATTCACGTTTTATGTATGTAAGTGTTGTGTCTACTTGTCTGTGTGTGTGCCACGTGCATGCCTGGTGTCCATGGCACTTAGAAGAGGGTGTTGGATGCTCTGGAGCTGGAGTCATAGATGGTTGTGGGCATCCATGAGCATGCTGGGAACCACACCCAGATCCTCTGCAAGGACAGCGGGTGCTTTTAGCTGCTGAGCCTCCTTTCCAGCTGCAGCAGCATCTCTCCATGCTTCAGAAGACACCCAGAACTTTCCTTAAATACAGATGCCTGCTAAAAGAGAAGCTCAGTGAATGACATAGTATCCATTGTCCATGTGTCTACAGAGGTTTAAAGTGAATATGTAAGTAAGGGAAGAAAGGAACAGCTACAGTAGAATTATTTACTTATATTTATTATTAAGGTGCCTGTGATATATGTAGGGTCACACGTATGTAGAGGTCACACACAGTTCTTCCCTTCCACAGAGGGTTCTGGGAATGGAACACATGCTACCAGACTTTCAGGGCAAGTGGTTTTATCCACTGAGCCATTGGCCTAGCCTAAGGTAAACTTATTTTTAATTGGTATAGTATAAAATGGGTAAACATTTTACCACCTCCTCACAGTCACAGCGTGACCACCTAGGACTAGTGTTTGTGTGCTTTTTTTTGTTTTGTTTCTTTGAGACAGGGTTTTTCTGTATTGTTTTGGAGGCTGTCCTGGAACTTATAGACCAGGCTGGTCTTGAACTCACAAGACATCTGCCTGCCTCTGCCTCCTGAGTTCTGGGATTAAAGGCGTGTTCCACCAACGCACGACTTGTGTGCTTTTAAATTCAGTTAAAACTCCTCACACAAAACCTGTTCAGATAATGCCCTGAACTAGTGAAGGTGATTACACATGTGTCCTTTCCTCTCTCTTTGTCTGCATCTCTGACGTGTGTCTGTATGTGTATACAGTCTTCTGTGTCTTCGTCTCCATCTCGAGTGTCTCCTAATTATTGAAAGGGCATTCTCTATCTTAAATATCATTAATTAAGTGCCTGGAGAGATGCCTTAATGCTTAAACACATTTCCTGATCTTCCGTAGGACCCAGGTTTGGTTCCCAGTATCCAGGTTGAATGGCTTACAACAAACTCTTAACTCCATCTCCCCCTTCTGTAGGCATCCATTCACATGTGACAGACAGACTTAAAAAATGACCCTGACTTAAAACCCTCCTGCAAGATATGTGCAAATTACAAAGGACAGAGAAATCTGGCATTGATTCCCTTAATCAAATGAAGGTGTTAGCATCACTAGTATTGTGGTCCCTACGTGCCTCCTGATGGTCCTCAAGTCACATATGATCACAACCTAAATCTAATCCCAAGAAGGCATCAGGACAGCCACAGGTGAAGAACAGCATTTGTGGATAGATGGTCTTCGTACTTCAAACATGTGGAGAGCAGGAGGGGAAAAGATAAACTAAAAAACGGCCACAGGAGACACTGAAGCTAGATGCAGGCTGTAGCTTTGATTGGGTACCAGACTGGAAAAGGACATTAGTGGGAGAATGTGTGAAATTTTAATAAGTCCTGGCAATCATTTAGTTGTATTATACCAATTTAAATGGTATTCTTTAAATAATTAATGATGGTTTTTATATAAGGTTCTCTTTAGGAGATGTCGAGAGAGTAGCACTTGGGAAGTCTTTATTCCACCTTTACGACATGTTATAAGTCTGAAATTTATTTGGGAATAAAAAGTTTCAAACGAGCATTACAGTGTGACTCTGGACAATTTTGAATATCTCTGTTGGGGAAAGAAAGAGGATAGAGGTAGACGTAAGATGGCTCTTTATAATCTCATTTATTGTCTCCTGGGATTCATTCTAGTTGCCTGACAGCTTTTGGGCTCTTGTGAGCATCCTCAAACACCTGTGGCGACCCTTTCACCTGTAGCCTTATAGAACCTAACAGAATTATTTAAATTTTATAATTGTCCTAATGGAAGCTTTAAACAATTGTAACTTAGCTCTCAAATGACAGTGTGGCCAAGAATTAATACTTTGGATAGTGTGTGTGTGTGTGTGTGTGTGTGTGCTTTAAACCAGGTCCATCCATCTCTCTCTCATCTAAAATCCTCACTGTGACAAAACACTTTAAGACATTGGTTTTAATTCACAAAATGTAAGAGGCGACAAATATCAAGGAGTAACTCATTTTGACTCTTAGATGTGTGTATTGTCTTCTGAGTGATTTCACTCTTGAGCACATCTTGGGCATAGCCCATATGTCCTGCCAAGTGCTTATGTCGGCTAGCATACTGAAAAGATACAAGCCTGAAGGGCAGAGCTTAGAGAAATGTCTGTGCTCTGGGCTTTATCTGTAGTCCAGAAGGGTCAGAGTGAGCACTAATACCTCTCCGTGACTGCAAACTTCAGTGGGAAAGTCGACTTACTTTGTCAAAGCCTGATTCTAAATAAATATTTGACTTTATGAAATAATAAATGGGAAAAGTAATCTAGGTCAACACACAAAGTGTTGGAGATTTATGCCTTTCCTGTTGGCCACAAAGTATTGGTCAGATGAAATCTGCCTTTCTGATTTAAAATAAACATCCAACCCTATTGTTAGTAGTTTTTACTGTGTCACTTTCTGTCATTTTTCTCATTAACATATGACCTGTTTCTAAAATACTTTCCTATTTGCTTGTCTCCCATAAATATTATGTGGCTTAGCTATTATATATTATAAAACCAGCTTTATTAGGCGCTTCCTTTGATGGGTTTAAAGGTTTCCATCTGTCCACAAAACATTGTAGTTGAGGGTAAGGAGGCCTCAGGACTGTTGCATAGAATCAGTGATCTCAGTAGCACTGGAGAAGAGGAGGGTAAAAATAGGGTAATAGAATACCACTTTGGGCCCAGATGATGCCTACCCCCAGTCAACTTGGGCCCAAAGTTGAAGTAGCATTGGATCATTTGCTCTGCATACATAGTGACCAGTGACAAAGTCAAGCTCCATTTTGTAGTGTCTGTTGCCTGGACTTTCTTCAACTCTGAATTTATTCATGATACCTTTGACTTTCAGGGGAGCTTTTTGTGTGGTACTGTAGCAAATGGACGAATATAACTTCAGCATGTACCATGAAATTGGCCCTATTTTTCTCACAGGCTTTGCTAAGGGACTTTTCTTTAAGGTACCAGATGAAAACACCCCACCCCCAATTTGGTAAAAGCAAGTTTGAAGGGAATGTTTTTCATAACAAATTGAATTTATCATACTGAGTTAGGTATGCAAAAGACTGAACTTGCTTATTTTGTGGTCTTTAATTCATTTTGTTAACTTGGTCTGATTGTGTAAAAAACATATTGAGACTACTTTTGAGGTACATAGTTATATTTTGAATATTCTTTTAAAATATTCTGCATTTACTAAACACAATTCTATTTACATCATCTTACTGTAGCTTTCTCAAAGCAGGCTTTGTTTTGTCAATTGCAAAAATGTTTTTATTTAAGTGTATTTTGAAACAAAATCATATCTATAGTTCATACATGCATAATGTATATAACAGTGTGCACATATAGTAGCTTAATAGTTTAATGCTATAATTACCAAGGCTAAGATTAGGGGCCCATATTAAGTTGTTGAATTTTTGGGAGGCTGATCTGAAATGGTTCTATTTCTCATTTGTAATTTGGCGGCATCAACCTAGTTATATATTGCTGTCAATGTAACTAATATTTTTAGAATTCTAGTTTATAAGAGCAGTTAGCTTTTCCTCCCTTGAAATACAATTTAAAGATGTTTAAGGTGAAGTGTCTCTGTTATTATGAATCATTGTTGTTTACTAGGAAACCATTGGTTCATTCTGCTATCCAAAGTGGAGATGGGATTCTAGTCACAAGTAATGTCATAAGACATTCTCTTGTTGCCATTGTACAATAATGTCAGTGTGGTATAAGTGAAGAGAATTTGGCCAGTAGAAAAGTTTGTGTCATTCACGGTGTACCTTTTTTTTTCTTTTTTCTTCTCCTTTTCCCCCCAGAGACAGGGTTTCTCTGTAGCTTTGGAACCTGTCCTGGAACTTGCTTGGTAGACCAGGCTGGCCTCAAACTCACAGAGATCTGCCTGCCTTTGCCTCCTGAGTGCTGGGATTAAAGGTATGCACCACCACCACCCAGCAAGAGTGTACTATTTCTATGTACAAAGTTTGCATAATTATTGAGGCAATGTCTACTTGACCTTAGTTTTAAAGATCCAAAGCTACAGCTAGGGTCTTTTGAAAGTTTCTTTTTCAGGGAGTGTAGAGAAGGGAAGAGTTTCTTCCATGCCTGTACACAATGTGAGCCCCAAATACCAAAACTTGGTTAGTAGCTGCTGACCAAGGAGTGGGGGCAACCAGGGAGTTTTGTCACTCATGGCCCGGGCAGATGCCTAGCCATGGCAAGAGGAGTGGGGTGTTCTGCAAATTGCTGCACGTGCTGTTGCATGAACAAGTAGAGACAATGGTTTCCAGACCCCTGGGAGAGAGGGTACGGAGGCAGAGTCAAAGAAAGACATCAGAAAGCGCTGGTGATGTGGGACCCTCTGCTGACCGAAATCTCATCTCTCTCAATGTCTCTGATTTCAGATTGCCTGTCTGGTGCCCGTGGCTGAGTATCAACTTTATCAGCGGTTAAAGTTTGAACGAGGTACACCTTCTTCTGTTTATTGCAGTGGTGAACGTGGTTTTTACACAGGTCATCTTTATAGGAGTTCGAATGCAAGGTGACAGCAGCTGTGGGCTGTCCTCAGAACCACAAGGGGATTACAAAGGTGTGAAACAGTAATTGCCGTGTGCATTTTCAACTTTCCCAGCCACAGCTAGGGGAGAAGAAAAGCAAACAAACAAAAAGAAAAAATGCAGATTAGCAGGAAATGGACTTTTCATTAGGTTGGTTACTTTATATTTTTAATTTGGGCTGTGTCCAGAAAGGCATTGCAAAAGTAAGATGGTTTCATAATAATAATGCGAAGGAAAATAACTCTCAAAATAGAATTTTATCACCATTTTTCTCACTCTTGACGATCATCCTGAAACATTAACCTGCCAAAACATTGTTATTGGTCTTCATGACAAACTATCCATTGCCCATCCTTTTGGTACTACTTTTGTAGTCACGACCATACCTAAGAATCTAGATGTGTGTTATTCTAATAGCATTTACAAAGTGCTGGGCTGATACGTTCTTACTTTGTTCTTGGAGCAATTTCCATAGCCTTTTTCCTTACAGAGCCCGTCTATCTGTAGGGTGAATGTTTTTATTCCTGTTGGCTCTAGCAGATCCTTTCAAGGAGTCTGTTCCCTCCTGCCACCCTTAAACCATTCTATCTTTTTAGCATTTGAGAAACCAGAGGAAAATGTTCCCTGCATAGGCTTAGTATAGTTTCACTCAGTAGATTCCCAACCCTAACCTAATATGAACAAAGCTTCTGAGGGCCAGTGTCTTGGTCTGGACCGGTCACTTTCCTCAACTACAGTCTCTCGTGGTCCCATGGTCTATGAGTTCTGGGCTATTTTTGTTCTGTCATGGGTGGATCACCCAATTAAACTCATAAGGCTGATATATCAAGCTGATATCAAGAGATATTTTGTGACCTACATAATAGCATTCCTTCTCCCTACCATCATCCTTCCTAACAACTGCACTACCTAGCCCTCAGCAGCAAGCTTACTTCTAATTGTTTACATATAATAACATTAGACAAATGCTAATGGCTCCCGAAGTTAAAACTTTCTGTGGTTCTCAATGATGAATATTAATATCCATAAGTCATGTCCTATGACTGTTGCCTTGTCTTGTTGTTCAAAATGTCAGCAGTTGTTGGTAATAAGAACTAATCAACTTTACATTACACACTATTCTTCTAGTGTCCCTTTTCTCTAAATGAGATCATCATAACAGCCCTTAGGGAACATCTTCTTATTGCTGTAGGTGTAATGATTAACACATTGTTAATGGAAATAGAACAGTTTTTAGCTAGCTGGACAAAAAGGTCTTTGCATCCAAGTGGGGTTGATAACCTTGTGAGTGAGGTACATGTGAAAAAAAATCAACAGACATTTTCATGCTCTGTCCCCAGGTGGTGTTTTGCTTTGTGGAACTTTTTGAGTCCTCTAGTGTTCAACTTTTCTTGTGATTGACTTACACCTTCTTGACATGTGGTAGTGTGTTCTTCCTAATTACAAAAAATTAGGCAGGCTTTGCAACCAGGGTATCTTCTGTAGATGGTGTTGCATGCCTCTACTTTCATCCATGATAAATCAATCAAACAGTTTTATTTATACATACAATTTATTTTTCTCTGCCTTCAAAGTCTAGGTAGGTGTCCTACTGTAGGACAAGCTCAAGAAATTGAGGTTTTTCTATAAAAAAACCCTTAAATTCTATAATGTTTTATAGTTCTGGACACTTCTTCAAGCATGAGTCATGAGTCCATCTTTTTAGACAATGTTTATCTGCTGTATCCTTCCTAACCTTCTTGACAGGCACACTTTCTCTTCAGCTTCATGATTCCTGTACCTCAACAGCCACTTCTTTCAGTAGAATACAACAGAATCACTTGTTTTCTCTTCATCTTAACTTATATCTTTTACTGAGGGTTTACATCCTTAGTTTCCTATGTTCTAGAGTGTCATTTAGAAGCTTGACACTCTGTACAGTATGCCATATTGTATAGATAAGTTCTTTAGTATAGTTTTCCCTTATTTTAGGTACAGATTCTACTTTCTCTAACCATCTTCCAAGAGATCATGACTCACAGTGGTGGGATGTCCAACATAGCTATATTAAAGAGAAAAGAGTCACGTGGAGGTAGCAGCAATTAACATTGATTTAATACTGTGATTTCTTTTGGATAGCCATCTGTAACTTAGGGGCCCATCAGAAGCTCACCAAAATTGAGTTATGCAAACTCTTGTGGGTCTTGTAATAGTGTTAGAACAAATGATTTTAGATGTAATTCCAAATTTAAAAATCTTTGAGTCTTTCGAACTCTCTTGAGAGTAGTCTGTTTGATGGTGGCTACCCTGTCTACATGGACCATATTGACTGTAGCAGATGTTAATTCTGATTACTTTAGTTTAATGGCATTTTAACTGTCTGCAGAGGACCCCTCTTCTTTGAGATATCAAAGGCAAATTAACTTTAGCATAATTAAAAATGCATTGGGTCATAGAAATTAATACAGCTTGATTTATTTCAGCTGATAATTAAATTAAATTGGGTGTGTGGTATTTCCCACAATAATAAAAATTCCTGCGGTATCTCTTTTAGAGGAGGCTCACAATGTCAGAGGATGACAGGAAAACCACTCTGGCTGGTTGAGAAAGTACACAGCAGAATGAAAACAAATTGCAGATGGCGTGTGTCAAATGCAGCTGGTTGTCATGTAGGAAAAACAAAGGTTGAAGATTCAGTTTTGTTTTGCTTTTCTCTTCCCCTTTCACCCCTCCCCCAATGCTGAGCTTGACTGGATTCAGGTTTTGAAAACTGAGAATAGTCGTGTGGGTCAGATATAGTTCTTAGATCTCGTGGCAGTTTTCATTCCCCAGGCTGTTTCGATTTCCTAATAATTGTCAGAATACAAAAGTAGAGAAGTTTGAAATAGCTTCTCTTGCTTTGTACAGCTGCACGAACAAGCAGTCTTAAGATAAATAGCCATGGGTCTTTACTTCAGTCACCAGATCTCCTCTGCAGAAGTAAATTGAAGTTCAAAGTCTGTGAATTTGCCTCTCTGATGAAGTATGTCACAATTAATCACTTTTAAATCACCTTCATGTACACTGTGTCATGCTCGCCATAAAGTTTTGAGGTCACCATTGGGGTATATTGCTTTTGTTTAATTTTTTTTAAATGTTTTTTCAAGGCAGGGTTTCTCTGTATAATAGCAGTGGCTGTTCTGGAACTCGCTTTGTAGACCAGGATGGCCTTGAACTTATGGAGATCCGCCTGCCTCAGCCTCCCAAGTGCTGGGATTAAAGGCATGCGCCATCAATGCCCAGCTTGTTTAGATTCTTATATTCTAGGTTCATGAACTTAAAAAAATTTTACTCATTCATGATTTCATAATTTATATAATGAACTTTGATCACATCCCCCATTGTCCTCTCTTAACTATATCTCCACTGGGCCCCCTTTCTCCCACATCTCCCTCCTGTTTGCATGTCTTTTGAATTTACATATTTATTATTATCATGTTGTATGTGCGTAATGTAAGGGGAGAGACATATATGCCAAAGCATGTATGGAAATCAGAGGAAAACTTTGTGGAGTTGGTCTCTCCTTGGAGTTGGTCAACTTTGTGGAGTTGTGCGTGGGTTCCAGGAATGAAAATCAGGTCTTCAGGCCTGTGCTGCACAGCAAATGCCTTTGCCTGATGAACCGTCTTGCATGTGGATTTAAGTTTGAAGAAGAGGGATTGATGTAGGAGAGGAATGGGTACAATTATACACATGAAATTCTTGAGGCCACGAGTAGTAGCGCGCACTGCAGGATGCTGGATGGATGAATCTATGCAAGCAGAGCCTGCAGGGTGGAAGGCTGACTCTAAAATGTGTTTCCTGTCCTGGGTTGCCAGAGGCAGGCTCAGTCACACCACACGCAGGCTTGCAGACTGATGTGCGCAGCTGTTTCCTCACGTGCTCCTTCCTCACAGGTGAAAGGAGCGGGAAGGTCCACCACGAGGATGAGAGGGGAAATCGGGTGCCTCAGATTGGAAGAAGCCAAGGGAGGGAGTTCATGTAAAGTGTCTTTGGAAGTATTGCACATGAGTTTTACAAAAGAGACTTCCAGTTTCACACACGTATAAGTCACTTACATGATGACAGAGCCTGCCTTGTGGAGGCTACTGTGTTTTATTGATTATCAGTAACCTGGGATAAGAAATGCATCTTATGATCAGTCTCACATGTGTGGTTCTTGCAACCACAGGTTTAGCCAACCTTGGATCAAATATATATATTGCTTCTGGGGCTGGAGAGATGGCTCAGAGGTTAAGGGCATTGACTGCTCTTCCAGAGGACCTGGGTTCAATTCCCAGAAACAACATGGTGGCTCACAACCATCTGTAATGAGATCTGATGCCCTCTTCTGGCATGCAGGCATACATGCAGACAGAACACTGTGTACATAATAAATAAACAAATCTGTAAAAAAAAAACTGCTTTGGTGCTGAATATATATACCTATTTTCATTATTCCCTAAATAATATAACAAGTATCCATATAGCATTTACAGTGTTGTCAGTGTTTTAAGGAAGCTGGGGATGATTGAAAGTGTGCAAATACTGTGCCATTTTATGTAAAGGACTCTCAGGGTTTTGGTATCTGTACCTGGAATGCATGTACTCATTCATGCACGCATGTACGCACTTATAACTCATTAGATTGATTTCCCAACCCCTTACATGAAAAGCATCACAATAAGAAGCACACATTTGTAGGTTTTCTTTCAAAGAACTCAATGTTATTCAAAATCAAGAAGGGGGTGGGGCTAGCTGGGCATTGGTGGCGCACTCCTTTAATCCCAGCACTTGGGAGGCAGAGGCAGGTGGATCTCTGTGAGTTCGAGACCAGCCTGGTCTACAGAGTGAGCTCCAGGACAGCCTCCAAAACACTACAGAGAAACCCTGTCTCTAAAAACTTTAAAAAAAAAAAAGGGAGGGCTGAAGAATTTGACTTTCGACTGTGGAGAGCATGCTGTGTGCAGTCAGTGTGTTTAGTGTGTTATGGAGTGGGACTTTAATCTTCATCATCTCACTTCAATGCCGGAAAGTGTTGTGTTAAACAGTTGCTCTCCTAAGGGGTGACACTCCATGTTCTTGAGCATTTGGTTCCTAGCTGACTTCAGTCACCTTCCACTCTGGGTTGTCTTCTGATTTTGTAAAGTGTGGCTGATGATTTCTTGGGTGGGGAAGCCTTTACTTATGCATCATCCAGGTAAACTTCAGAAACAGATCAAACCCACTTGCAGTTTTGCAGCTTCTTCATGATTCCAACCAAAGGTTCCTGCATGTGATTGTTAAAAATGTACAGCTATGAATAACTATGAGAGCAGGAACCCTCTCAAAAGTTTACCTCTAGTAAGCCTTTTTTTGTTGTTGTTTTGAGACAGGGTTGCTCTGTGGAGCTTTGGAGCCTGTCCTGGATCTCTCTCTATAGACCAGCCTGGTCTCAAACTTACAGAGGTCCACCCGCCTCTGCCCCCTGAGTGCTGGGATTAAAGGTGTGAGCCTCCGCTGCCCAACTAGCAATTCTAACCAAATTAGTAATAGGCCATGGAAAGAGCAGGAAACGTGCTTCTGCACTATGGTCTTCACCCTGAGAAACTGGAGTCTAGAGAGAGGAGCCTTGTACTTAAATGGACTTTGTGCTTTTCAACCCAGAGGCACCAAGACACTTCTTTCTCTCCACTCAAAAGTGTTTTTCACGTGCATCTGTAGCAGTCCTGGGCATGGCTGTTGGATCGCAAGAGATAAAACTCCCTTAGTCCCATTTCTGTGTCGCTGAGCCACTTCCTCCTTTGATGGCCCACTCTTCCCTAACCCATACTTTACTTAGCTCCCTGATGGTAGCGCAGAAGCAGAAGTGGGAGGACTTTCAGGAGTGTGACTTGATTTGTCTCTTTCTACCAGGTTATTCATTAATGTTACTTTTAATGGTTTAGAGAAATGATAAGCAGAGTAAATGACAAGGACAGTACTTAGAAGCTTCTTAGGACCTGTTCAAGTCTGTGTGGAAACAGTGTCCCTCCAAGCAGACCTTTTAGGCACAAATGATGCTATCTGGTTCCCTAGGTGCCCTGATGTGTGGACGGACATTCTCCCCTCCGGGCTTTAATCACGTCACCTTCACCTAAGTAGTCATGCTGAGTGATAGATGGGAGCTCACATGGTGACTGCATTCACAGGTATCTCATCTTCTCTTTCTTCTGACCCTGTGTGTAGAAGAGGAAAGATTTTGGACTGCTGAGGTCAACCAGAATGCCCAGAGTGAACCCCTCTGATTAAGAGCAGGAGAGGTGCTTGAAACCCTGTAGGGGGTTCCAGAAGCACCTGCCTTTGATGTACTTCCATCCTAAGTGGTAGAAACAGCCTGTACTCCAGGGTAAGGGACCCACTCACTACTTTACTGAGGTTGAAGAGCCAAGGAGGATGTGCAGCAAGGAGTTAATGAATGCCATGTTTAGCATATAAAAACAAAAACCACCTGAAAGCTGTGTACGCGTGTGGGTTTTATTACAGGTGTATGTGTCTGTCTGTGTCAAGGATGATCAGGAAGTAGAAACCACTGGCCACAAGCTGCACTGTTGGCGGTTCCGGCTTCTCTTCCTTTATGCTATGCAAGTTCTGCTCTTCATTTTCCTACTCGGGGCTCCATGGTTTTCTGTGCTGAATGACAGGTTTTGTGTACTGATGTGTTTATCTCAGCTTAGCCTCTGTTCAGTGGCCCTCTAGCTGGTAATTCTTGCCACTTTGTCGTGGCTGAGTTCAATCTGCCTGCATGGTACCACTCACCTTGGATCTGGGGAGAGATGCATTTGGCTTGGGAGCTGCCAGGGCCCATCAGGATGTGTCCTGTCATCACAAATGCTTCCTTTAGGTACAGCAGCTTAATTCTAACATCTGGATAGAGACTTTTCCCCTTGCGTCTCTGTCTGCAGCCTGGCTGCACCCTTGCCACGTAAGAGACTTCTTTTTCAAAAATCTGTGTTTATGTAACCCTTTCTGGCTTAACCCTCCCATGTTTCATCTCAGCGTGTGTTATCTGCTTTGTCTGTGATTAGAAGAAACCACTTTTGCCTTCTGATGCTAGACTTAATTAAAACAGGAAATTTTATTATGAATGTGTGGACAAGAAAGAAAGCATAAAGGGCTTTCTGTAAGTAGCCATTAAGTTCCCTTATCTCCATCCCCAAGCACAGCTCACAGGTGTTTCTTAATAATTTCATTTTTGTTTTCTTGGAGATACACTCCCATTTGCATTGCTAGGTTTTTGTTTCTTAGGTGTTATGTTGTTTTAAATCTCTCTCTCTCTCTCTCCTTCCATACAGTGATCTTCATACTGTGAGATTTCTGAGCACAGAAATATTAAATTTTTTTGCATTTCATATGCCCAAGTCCCTAACAAGTACTTGAAATCACTCATTTGTTGAATTAAGAGTGAAAAGTAGACATGCCTAATTTTTAGTTTTTTAATGATGAGGGGCAATTCCTCAAAGTCAAATTAAAGTAAGAGTTGAGCCTCAGGTATGACATAAATAAGTAGAAAGTGGGTGAAGTCTTGGAGTAGGGCACAGATGCTAGTCAGGATTGTGGACAGCATCCAGGGATGCTAGTCAGGAGCATGGGCAATATCCAGGGATGCTAGTCAGGATTGTGGGCAGTATCCGGGGATGCTAGTCAGGATTGTGGGCAGTATCCAGGGATGCTAGTCAGGAGCATGGGTAGTATCCAGGGATGCTAGTTAGGATTGTGGGCAGTATCCGGGGATGCTAGTCAGGATTGTGGGCAGTATCCGGGGATGCTAGTCAGGATTGTGGGCAGTATCTGGGGGTGCTAGTCAGGAGCATGGGCAGTATTCAGGGATGCTAGTCAGGATTGTGGGCAGTATCCAGGGATGCTAGTCAGGATTGTAGTCAGTATCTGGGGATGCTAGTCAGGATTGTAGTCAGTATCTGGGGATGCAAGTCAGGATTGTAGTCAGTATCTGGGGGTGCTAGTCAGGAGCATGGGCAGTATTCAGGGATGCTAGTCAGGATTGTGGGCAGTATCCAGGGATGCTAGTCAGGATTGTGGGCAGTATTTGGGGATGCTAGTCAGGAGCAGTATTATTGACACAAGAGAAAGGAGAGCAGTGGCCAGAAAGGGAGAAGACAGAGCCCAAACCACTGGACATGGAAGGTGATATGTCAGGTAGAAGACAATCCAGGGGCCCTTGGGACTGCACCCAGAGGGATTTTGATGGTGACTTGGGGAGGGCAGTTTATTAAGGTGCTTTCAGCAAACCCTTTACTTCAGAACATTCAGGAAGATACAATAGGTAGGATGACATAGGAAGTAAAATGGGTGAGAGCCATCAAGAACAGAGTTCTAGAAGGTGTAACAACTGGTCTTGATACCAGGAAACATTACTGTTGTCCTTCTGAGTGACACCTCCCTCCTGAGTTCTGGGGTTACAAGTGGGAGTCACTATGCCTGACTTCAGAAAATAGCTTTAGAAAAAAACAATTTAAAAAATGTACCCAAGTGGTATGTGTGCCTTAAAAAAGTCACATGGGCCAGTGAGGTGGCTCAGTGGGTAGAGGCCCTTCCCACCATGCCTGGAAACTTGTGTTCAGTCCCTGGGTCTCTCACGGCCAAAGGAAAGGGCCAGTTCCTACAAGCTGTCCTCTGACATCACGTACACCGTGCCGTGGACACAATCACAAAACACAATAAATAAGTGGGACTTTTAAAAATTCACATTCACAATAAAGGAAATCTGTGCCTTTTTACCTGACTGTTGACCCTCACCTCAGGGAAAGCTGTTACCTTCAAGGGTATTCTGGAAGCAGTTGAGATACATCTCTATATGCATAGTTCTATAAATACTGATCATTTATACTATTTCCTAATTTAGTCTTTTCATTAAATCATTTACTGTTATTTTATACATTTTCCCTACATTTTAAAAATATAAACAATGCTCAACTATATAAAACTCCTTTATTTCTGACAGAATACATTAACCTTTTTAAAAGTACATGAATTTGTGTTATGATGCACAAGATTTCTATAGAACAATGTGTGTTGATTTGTTTCTACTTACTTGTATAATTTCCATGTGCTGTACATATATATATAAAACTACAGGTATAGGATAAACTTCCAAGGCCATCTCAGACATGGTCCTATAGTTCTCTCAGTGAAATCTGCCCTGTGGGAGAAAAAGTCCTTTAGTATGATTATTTACTCACCTTTACTAGAAGTAGCCTTATAAGTTAATATTCTTTCAGCTACAAAGAATGGAATGTCTGAGAATGGCTTGAACAACGACATCTTCCTGCTTCGTATACAGGAAATCCTTAGACGGGCAGTGATGCCTTTGATTGATTCAGCAGCTCGAATTTCTTAAACCATCTTTTCCTCAGAGTCCCCAGATACCTATGCTTGTCCCAACGTCATAACTTCACATGCCTATGGCCAGAGGCAGGCTGATGAATGGTACTGGGGACCAGGTCTTGTCCTAGAAGTCCTGTGATGGGTCTCATTTTACCTTCTCATTGGTTGGAATCACATCACATGTCCAGTCTTTGCTGCAAGAAGTCTGGAAAAGTACAACTCTAGAATACCCAGACTGTCATGGCAGACAGGTGTTTCCATAAGATGCAAGGGGATTGGGAGAGTTAGCTTGGAAAATTGACGAGAGTGGCCAGTTTTGTTTTTAGGTAGAGCTAGAAATTTGTCTCCTGATATCTACATTTGGTCGCAGTTAAGCTCTGTAAGGCATCTTTGAAGAAGGCTTGGGTATAGCTCAGTGCAGGCTGCTGTCCTGCATGCCTCATCCCCGCACTAACCAACAAGCAAGCCATCCAACCCAGAAATGCCCAAACACGACTTCTAATGGAAAAAGTACCAACGTGGCAACGGGATAACATCTCAGCCACTAGTGGGACCTCTCTGTAACAGTGGCCCTCTTCTACTGATACTATGCTACACATGCTGTTCTATGAAATAGATGAATGAAGGGGAGAAAGCTGAATGCTTGGATCAGAGAAAGCCCATCACCATTTCCTTCTTTATGTTTCAGAGGTTCACATGGATCCTCTCCGAACATGGTGTCCTGTTGCAGACTGCCAGACAGTGTGCCATGTTGCAGCAGGCGACCCGGGAAAGCCTGTGATGGTGGAGTGCCCTTCTTGCCATCTGAAATTCTGCTCATGTTGCAAGGATGCTTGGCACGGGGAGGCTGCCTGTAGAGAACAGTCTATCGTGCCAGAGCATGGGTAAGGGATGAGGTGTCTTTGGGATGTTTTTCTCAAACCCTACACTAGCGCCTTTGGGAAGGAGTTAGAACATGGTTGCTCTTAGGCATTTACTGTAGAAATATCCTGAGAAGAATTAGTAAGGTGGTAACAGACACTAACTAGAATAGTATGTCTAAAGGGATTCTAGCTCTTTATCCTAGGGGAACCTTCCAGGTCATGTTAAGTTCGTTTGAGTTCACTCCCATTGGGTGGAGGGGCTCCTTGCTCCATAGGTTTCAGCAAAAAGTCAGGGCTTGTACAAAACCATGTTTACCCATCACTGGTATAACCTACTCTTCCTAGTTACAAAAGAACAGAGAGATGATCTTACCTGATTAAATGGCCAGCTCGTGGGATATGCCGGTCCTACAGAGCACACAGACAGGCAGACTGTCTTCCTAAGTGATTAGAAAACATGGGAAGAGAGAGTTGTTCTTAATGCTTTATGCTAAGAAAGGTGGTGCCAGGCCTGAGATTTATTTTGAGAAGCAATTCAACCCGAGAGTGCCTGGGTTTTTATAGCAGCAGACAGAAGCAGAGCGAGAGACCTTTGTGTTGGATCCCATGCTTCGCTTGAGGCTAAGGCTGTTCTGCACGGGCAAGAACAAAACACCAGTGTTCCTGGCCACTTACTCATTCAGTGCCCTCAGACTATGCAGAACCTGTCTTCAGGAATAGTCAGCACTGCCTGGCTTTGGTGCTATGCTTGAATGTCAGACCAAACACAGAAGAAAGAGAACTCTGATACATGAAATGCTATGTGCCATCCCCATCAGATTGAAAGCATAGTAGTTAGCTTCCCTCCCACCCCATCCATTAATGTAAAGGGGTGAGGAGAGGGGTAACTTGAGTTCTGACACTGTTTGTGGCATCCAGGTGGCTTCATATAAGACACTCAGCCTCTTATAAGTATGTATCCCCATTGGGAAAAGGGAGTATTAAAGTTTTTATTACATTTACTCCTGTGTGTGTGTGTGTGTGTGTGTGTGTGTACGTGTACATGTGTGGACCTATGTCATATGTGGAGGTCAGAGAACAACTTGTGAGAGTTTTTTTTTTCTCCTTGCACTACATGGATCCCATGAACTCCAGTATCAGGATTAGCTCCTTTACCTGCTGAGCCATTCCACCAGTCAAAAGGAGAATATTAAAATAGAAATACTGTCTCCACTATGTTATTCCCAGCACCACATCTGACTATAGGTTTGCAACATTTTGTGAATTTTGAACACAGTCAGTGGAGAGGGATGGAATGTTCTGATTCCCTCCTCACTCAACTGGAACCGCTTAGTCCTGTGTCCCTTCCTGCTGTGCTCTCACACACTGACCTATTCATCAGCTTGGAGGAGGCCTTTATGAGAATAGTCGGCATCTCTGTGAGCTTTGCTAACTGAATCTCACCCTTCTCCCTCATTTAATGGGCGGGTAGTTATAGAGACTGATTCCTGCTTCTCACAGGCTGACTCCCTCTGTGTGCTTCTCATTCAGAGAATGTGTGATCCAGTGATGAAGTATTAACTTGGCAAAGCAATAAAGTCAGCCAGCTGTGGAAAGTGTAATTATATAATTCATTAGGAGCCAAAATAAATAAATTTTTTCTTATTGAGCTATCTGAACAACTAATAATCCATGTCTCCCGTTTTTCCTTCCACCCCTTCCTTTGGAAGTGAACTAAGCACAGCAAACAGAGTGTATTGTATTAACCATCAGCTAGTGGCCCTGACGGCTGACTGAACGCCTTTACTTCTGTTTTGTTTTAGGGCCCTCTTTGGGATGGAGGCCGACGCCCCCATTAAGCAATGCCCGGTTTGCCGCATTTACATTGAGCGCAATGAAGGCTGCGCCCAGATGATGTGCAAGAATTGCAAGCACACGTTTTGCTGGTACTGCCTGCAGAGCCTGGACGTGAGTTCTCCCAGAGAGGCTGCTCCTCGGCCCTGGGCTGTATGCCGCAGTCAGAGCCCTGCAGCTGCCCTCCCTCGCTTTTCTCAGAGAGATTTCCTAAGCCTGATGCCTTCTGTTGTTCCTTCTTGTCTTGCCAGTCTCTCTTCTTCCCTCCTCCTGCTTTTTGTTTTTATTTTTTGTTTGTTTGTTTTTGTTTTTTGTTTTTTTTTTTTGTTTTTCGAGACAGGGTTTCTCTGTGGTTTTGGAGGCTGTCCTGGAACTCGCTTGGTAGTCCAGGCTGGTCTCGAACTCACAGAGATCTGCCTGCCTCTGTCTCCCGAGTGCTGGGATTAAAGGTGTGCGCCACCAACGCCCGGCTCCTCCTCCTGCTTTTTGCTTCTTGCGTCCTCGTTTCCTTGGTTCTCATTTGTTCCTTGGCGCTGGGCCCTGGACCCAGTCATTGTGCATGCTAGGCAAGCACCGTGTGGCCGAGTCACCTCCCCAGCCCCACTGCTGCTTCAGACACCATGAAATCTCTTGGCATTACCTTAGGTATGCCACTCTCGCTTTCAAGACATCCTTTGTTTTAAAGGCGTTTCATGCTTTGGAGGAAATTATGTCTACCATGTAAATATCATGTAAATGTCATATAAATAGTGCATTTGTTTTATTTTACCGTTGTAACAAATGATCGCAAGCTCTGCGGCTTAAAACAACATGGAATTATGTCTGCGCATTAGAAGTGTAATATGTATCTCAGTGTAACTGGGGGGATGTTACTGACAAGCCTGCAACACTGTCGGCAGACTCTAGCTGAGAATCCCGTTCTCTGCTTTTCTATCTTGTAGAGATAGGGTTGCTTGCATTGCTAGACTTGATCCCTTTTCTGTATCTCCAAAGGCAACAGCATCGCCTCTTTCTGACCCCTTCATGGTTCTCATTCCCACTGATCACAGGCAGGAAGGATTTCCTCTCCCGTGAAATGAGATCAGACATGTTAGTATCACAGAGGACAATCCCCCACCAGGCCAAGGTCCTTCACATAGTCATACATGCAGACATGGTCACTGGAGACCGCAGCCATGAGCATCTTGGAGGGGCGTTTTGCCTCCTGCAATCAGAGAAGCTGCTGTCCCTCATCCCTGTGCTTTGTATGTCAGTGTGCCATGGTGAGCAGTGACCTCAGCTGTGGGAAGGGTGACTGAGAAGGGTGGGCTTCATCCCAATCTTTTAAAGTTTGGGGTGGTGCAAACTGCTTATGGATACTCCTGTGAGAGCAATTTGAAGCTGTAATAGGTGTCCATATTGGGGTCAGACCACAGTCACACATATCTTAGTTAGGATCACTATTGCTATGATGAAACACCATGACCAAAGAAACTTGTAAAGGAAAGGGTTTATTTGATTACTCTTCCACATCATAGTTCATCATCAGACGAAGTCAGGACAGGAAGTCAAGCAGGGCAGGGACCTGGAGGCAGGAGCTGATGCAGAAGCCATGGAGGGATGCTGCTTACTGACTTGCTCCTCATGACTTGTTCAGCCTGCTTTCATAAAGAGCCCAGGACAACCCAAGAGAAGAACTGCCCACAATGGGTCCTTCCCCATCAATCACTAATTAAGAAAATGTCCCACAGACTTGCCTACAGCCCAATCTTGTAGAGACATTTTCCCAATTGGAACTCCCTCCTCTGATAACTAGCTTGTATCAAGTGACATAAGACAGTACACACTTATGCTGCTGTCTTTTCATTGGCTCTTGCTTTTGCTGTATAGTTGGGTTTCATTCAACTAGCAGTTTGTTTGGTGCTGGAGTATCCTAAGTAGCACCGGAAAAAAGGTGTCATTAATGGAATGCCTACTGGCGCATCAGCTGAAAGTTAGGTAAACTGTTGAGGACATCGTGAGGAAACATCTCTGTGAGCTGGGACTTTTTAAAGGAAGTGCAGTAGATTGATGAGCTGCGGGTGGATGTGGAAAGAATTTAAACAGCACACACATGGTTTCCACTTTGAATAACTTTGCAACATAGTCCTTTAGATGGCAAGAGCGTGTGGTATTTTACACGATTTGCACATTCAAAAGAGATCCTAGGGTTTTCTCCTTGGTGTCCCCAGACCAGAAGCTGGGTTTCTATCCACCAGGCAGCTGAGTCCATGTGCTTCTCTTCAGGAGGGAAGAACGTAAGTGACTCAGTGTGCGCACCAGACCTCCATCCTTTGGTTGGAGTAGGTCTGGAGAATGGTGTTGTGGAGAACACTCTGTCCAGAGCCTTGTGCTGTGTGGGCCCTCGAGGTGAAATGGGTCAGATGTAGAATGTCTGATGAACACACAGACTTCAGATGTTAAAGCACGCTTTTCTGTCACTGTGCCTTGTCACCTCACTTCCTCTGCTTTAGATGAGGGCATTTCTGCAGGGTGGTATTCTGTGCCACTCAGTGGGTGTTGATGTGTTTGTGGGAAAGTTGAGAGCCTGCCACGAAGGAGGCTTTTCTGGAGCCCAAGTCTGAGACAGCCACCAGACATCTTTACCCTTGCCGTGTCAGAGGCTGAGACGGAGCCTCATGGACTTGTCACCTTCAGTTCTCTTTTCTCTTTGATGTGACCTCAGCTTCTAATCCTTTACCGTTTGGGGAGGAGCCAGCCTCCTCAGACTGACAGTCAATTCTTTCTGTTCAGAAGCTGAGCTTCCAGAGAGCCCAGTCACCTCTTGCTGCTGACACCTGCCTTCCTCTCCAGTCAGCAGGAGACATGCACGTGGCCATGCGGCCACACACGGACCGTATTCTTTCCAAGGTTTCGCATGATTTCTTTCTTACTGGTCAAGTTCAACGTCCTTAGCTTTCCCAGGTTCTCTGCTCCAGTTGACATCTTAGCCAGTTGCCATCTCCTCTATCTTTTTTGACCTTGCCTCTCTGGCTGTACCTCAGTTTCTTTAGTTTTCTTTCAAGACTCCTCACCTATTCATGAGGGTCTTCTCTGAACACATTTGTTCTCAGGCCGCTGTCCTTCTAGATAATCTCCTTGAGTTCTGTGATCCTCCCCCCATTTTTTTGTATAGTAATGCCCAAATCTTTCCTTCAAAGAGCAGGTGTAAGTAATGGGCTGCCTTTGGATGCTTGGATGTCAGGTTCAGCATGTCCAAACTGTAGTTCATCTTTACGCTCCCCACAAATCCATTTCTGAGTTATTTCTCTTGGCAATGCCATCATCTTCTTTCTCCTCAGCAGCCTTTCCCTCATCAAGTTCCTGTTTCCCTGTTTCCTTATTTCGTTCATTACTTTCTCAGCATCTCATGACTGGCTTCCCTTCTCCATCAGCTGTGAGTTGGTGGCATTTCTCACATCAGGTATGCTCCTGGCTTGTGGTTCTCATGGTCCATGGCAAACCTCTGCTAGAGCTCACCATCATTTACCTGTCAGAGATGGTTGATCAGGTCATTCCTTTTTCTGTTGCCTCAGCCAAGAGTTCATTATGATTTGTCTCCTTGGTGATTTACAGAGCTGCAAGCCATGCTGAAGAGGACAGGCTTGGGATTCCTAGGGGACGTTATTCGTATCGTTAGGTGACCACCTCTCCACTCCACATTGTTTGCTTACTGAAACTCCTCCCTTTGTGTTTCAGAATGACATTTTCCTCCGGCATTATGACAAAGGGCCGTGCAGGAATAAGCTGGGCCACTCCAGAGCATCGGTAATGTGGAACCGAACACAGGTACCCTCTCGCCTCTTTAGGGGAACATGAGATGCATTGGACTTAGGGTGGCTTCCTTGCTTTCCCATGCCCTCTTGGGAGGTTCTGGTACGAGGAGAGAGAGAACAGTGGAGCAGCCACCAGAAGCTAATTCAAGAGTGCAATTGTTGAGGGACAGAGGCACCAGAGAACTGAGCACTAGAGTGAAGCAGCCAAGTGAATACCCATGTTCTTTGCTCTAGCAAAACATGGGAGGAGTTTCCTCCAAGCAGTTAGAGCACACCAGTCATCAAAGGAGAGTTCCCCAATACTATGGGGCTCCTGCCGGGCCTCGGATCCCTCCGTACATGTCATTGTGTGTTTATGTGGCAGGTTCAAAGGGAGTTGTGGTTTGTTTTTTAATAGTGTTTTGTATTTATCAAAGGCTATGCTCCCTTTGAGGAAACCAATGCTCATATCCTAACAAGCATTATTAATGTCCCTGTGAGACTGTTGGAGAAGCCCCGATAGAGAACAAGCCAACACCCACAGTTCAGGGTTTGGAGTTAACGGTTAAGCTTGAGTTAGCCTTTTGTTTGTTCTCACCCTCAGTTTAGTCCTTTGTGGCTTTGTAGTTTGTGTCCATTTAGAACATTGCTGAATGTGCCTGAGACAGCATCCTAGTCATTCATCTAACAGACTGTTATAGACTGGGTGACTGGAACAACAAAGGTGGCTTCTTCCTAGTTGTGGATGCTGCAAGTCTGAGCTTCGGGTATCAGTGTGGGCAGGTTCTACTGAGAGTCCTTATATTAGGTACTTGTCTCAGGACTTAAAGGGGCAGGAGTTCAATTTGGCTCATGGTTTGAGGCCATAGGATCCATCGTGGTGGGGAAGACATGGCAGAGTTAATGCCGTCGGAACCTGAGGCTGGGTCTCCTTATCTCTCAGCAGAACGGGAATCGGGGAGAGGGGAGTATGAGTGTTCATCAGGCTTTCTTCTTTTTATTGTTTGCTATTCAACCCAATGCCCAGCCCATGGGATGGCATCACACATCTTCCCTTCCCAGTTAGCCCTGACTGAACATGCCCACACAGACGCATCCAGAGGTGTGTCTCTAGATGATTCCAGATCTGGACATGTGAGCAATGAGGAGTGACACTCACAGTTCTCCTCCTGTTCATAGATGACAGTTTTATTCCTGTGTCCTCCTATGGTGGAAAGCTGAGAGTGGAGGAGAGCTTTTGAGCTCCCTGGTATCATCAAGGCTCCAGAGTCGCAGCTAGGGCTCCCCTCTCCAAGTGCCATCACACGGAGGGTTAAGGTTTCAACTTGGGGACTTGGAAGGGGGAGACACACGCATTCACACCACAAAGGCCATTACACTTGGAGGCATGTACACATCTAAGATGATGTAACTTCTGAAATGGGGTTTTCTCTTCAATTCCCAGGTGGTAGGGATCCTTGTGGGATTAGGCGTTATTGCCTTGGTGACTTCGCCCTTGCTACTCCTGGCCTCTCCATGTATAATCTGCTGTGTCTGCAAGTCCTGTCGAGGCAAGAAGAAAAAGCATGATCCATCCACAACTTAGTTACCTGCACAGACATCTGGGTTATATGAGACAGCGCATCGATAAAGCCCCACTTAGTGACCTTGCCTCCTTCTCCTTGCCAAACTTTGGAAGTGCCTCTGTGTCCAGACCCTGAACTTGCCTGATAGCATTCGGTGTTAGAAAAGGCCAAATCCTGGGTGCCAGTGTTCCGGTGTATCGAGATGCAGCCCCACAGTCTGGACTGTGTCTGTGGAGCAGGCCGGGAGCTTCGCCATTGCCTGGGAAACTTAACACATCACCGTCTTGCCATCCAAAGGATCCCACCAGGCTGCTCAGCTTCCATCCAAACTTAAAGAGCCTGGGTGAATATTCAGTGTACTAATAGCATTGCTGTGCTTGGCAGCATTGCAAGCCGAGCAAAAGTCTGTGTTGATTCCACTGCCACGAGTCACATGCCAGAAACCAAGAGTCAGAGGGGAAGGACAAGACTAGCATAGTCAGAAGTTCTATGAGCAGTAGAGCTGGCTGCTTATCTCAGGAGTCGATGCACTGGCTGGCGTGTCTGTGCCAGCTACTGCGAGCACGTCTTCAGTGTTCCCACAGTGACTTGGCAGAAGCGTAATAGCTGTCTTCCTGTGTAATTTCATCTTCAGGCAGGAGAAACTGCTGTTCAGAGGGAATTGTCCCTTCCCAGGAAAAGGTTGTAACATGTAAAACAACATGGCCTAATTTAGTGTCTGTTGTTTGGCAGATATTATTCTTCTAAAGTAACCAGTGCACCACTCACAGCCTGTAGCTGTGGTCTATAAAAGTGTTTCATATGGGATGTGGGTAGGCCATCTTCAAAGCCCTTGTGGAAGATAGCGGGGTCCTTTCTTGGGCCCTAAGTGTACATTAGCAGTACACATTATAGTTTGTCCATCCGTCCATCCATCCAGAATCCATGAGACTTCCCCAGGCATGCATGGAGGTGTCCAACAGATGACACAAAGTAAGATTAGATAAAAGACTTTGTCCCTTTCTATGACTAAATGATTTATCTGTCAGCATAAAAGGTAATTGTTTTTTGCTTAGTACATGTGTGAATTTTTGTTTTAAGTTTATAACTCACCCAGGAGGGTAGATTCAAAAACAAATCTTTTAAGACAATGCCTAGTGCAATTTTATGCTGTCTGTAAAGTGATAATCAGGTTATTTACATACTTTCAGATACAATTTAGAGCAGCTCTTTGCTTAACCTAATTTAGTATCACTCTCCTGGGAGCTGTTCAGACAATCTGAGCACTTTCTATGTCCTCAAGAAACTGATAAAATGACAACAAGAGATCAAATGGAAATATTTCATGTGTCTTCAGTAGTTTGGGTTTGTGTCACCTCAGTGTGACTCACCCTGACCATTAGACCATTAGTCAGCAGACATATTTTAAAAAGATGAACATATTTTCTCTAGTGACAGGATTATACAGTTGCCATTAGCAATGCAGCCTGGTGCTTCATAAGAACAGTATGTGTTCTGTGTTAATGGAGACTTCTCCTCAAGGCAGGGAGACTATTCAGGGCCTATTCTGTTTTCCACGGTAACTTGGTGACTAGATTGTTAAACTGCTGCTATCCTGGATCTCTTATCAAAGACTGTTGCCTTGCCTCTGCAGTGGGATGTACCCTAAGTGGGGATGTATATATTCAAGGATCTTTAATTCAACCACATATATTAATAGCTGATGTATATGTACAGTACATTCATTGGCTGTGTACTTTTTTATTCACCAGTTTGTATAAAATATAGAACTCTGGAAAACTTTGGAATGGCAACCAGCTCAAATCATTTGAATCATTTATTAGAAATGTCTCCACATAAATTAGCTCTGTTTTGCATTGAATGTGTAAGCACTTGAGAAAAAAACAAAAACTCTCTTCTGAAAACATATTTCATATTAGTCCAAATATAAGTGTATGTCTCTCTGAGTGGTTAACTTGCACAGACATAGCCAACTGCCTCCCTTGAGGTGAGTGGCCTTTGTTACAGCTCAGGGCATGACAGGAATGCAACTGAATTTGGATTTTTGTATCAAGAGTGTCAGCAACGACAACAGTAGCCACCATTAGCAGATTCTCTGAGCATGGCTCTAACTGGGGCAGACTTCACGTAACCGGAACTGCTGCTGTCTCAGAAGTAAGAGCTGGTGGGTTTGGAGTAAAGGTGGAAAAGAAAGTCTGTGCTATTCCCCTGGGGAAATTGAGGGAAATTGCCTTCCAGGGATTTTTATAAAAGCATTAGTTTTGATTTTATTTTTGTTTTTGTTTTTGACTGGGAGGGGGTTTGTTTGTCAAACTGATTTTACCTAACTGGATTTTTTTTTCAATGTTGCAAAGTGCCTGAATAATAGTGTCTTCTTCCTTATGTGGCATGTTCGAACCTACTCGAGAATTTGGTAGCTAGAACCCAAGTGTGTGTATCTCTGGCACATCCCAGGGCACAACGCTAGCTTAACTCGTCTTTGCCTACAAAGACACGAGGTGGCAGCCGTGGTGGGGGAGGCTAGTGTTTTCACTCTGAGTTGTCCTCTGGGGAGTTTGCTTCCTCTGTCCCTCAGCCTCCTCCCCATCCTTTGGGAAGATTCTTATAAAAAGTGTTTGTCTGTGGCAAAAATTTTCTAGTCCATTTGAAATAGGTTTCAAAGCTCACCAGGTTTGCAACTTCCAGAAATCTCACTGGGTGCAATGGTCCATTATCCAGACCTGGCCACTTCTGGGGTTTCCCCTGCTAGAATCCACTAGAGATGACAGGTGGGATGCCGTGCAGAAGCCAGTGCCACTGTCCTGTTTGTTCATGCTGTGAGGATTTGCTCTGGATTTGAAATCTGTACTTTGAAAGTGGCCTTTGGAAAGCAAATAATTCCGCGTGAATTTTATTGTAGTTTGCATCACAAAATAGTTCTCTTCATTCAAGTGGAAAATCCCCATTGATTTTTGGATGTCCACGACTGTTTCCTGGAAGCCAAGTTTCCTCTTTAAAATTACTCAGTAACTAAGTTTGTGCTGTTTTATCCTTCTGTGCCCAGTGCGCCTAAAGGACATATCTCTCTGTCCATGAATAGATGCCTTTATGTATGTGAAACTGTACACATGTACAGCTGTGAGAGCCGGTTCCCACATGCCTTAGATGAAGGGCATTGTGTAAAGCTGTCTCAACTGATATCTACAGGCTATCGCATCTCATGTTGGTTCATGATCCAGTAAGTTTTGTCATGTGCTTACTTAAATTGCTGCTGTATTATATATATTTTTTCAATTATTTGGGAAGAAAATTGACTGTTTTAGTCTCTTTAGCCCCAATAAATGTGAGCAGGAAACCAAAAGTGTTAGTCTTTGTCCTGCACAATGTTTTGTCTTTTTTGCTAAGAACCAACTAAATTGCTATGAAATTCGAGGCTTGCAATTTACAAAAGCAACCAAAATGTATGTCTAGGTAATGATTCTTGGTGTTGTGTTTCTTGAAGAAAAAGGGGAAGTCACTCAATACAGACTCCATCATGCTGTGTGGGGAAGTTCACATCAGCAGTACACAGGGGTTGACACCACCCAGAGAAGCAATCCACAATAATATATCTTTAACCATCCTAACAAACACACCACAAACCATTGCTTTGTATCAAAGTAGGGTTGGGTAAAAATGAGGATTAGACTGAAAGCCAAGGTCAGTTCTAACCTTCTGAAAACCTCTTAGAAGGTTTCCTTGTTATGAATTTAAAGAAAGGAATTACATGAGAGTATTTGCTTATGGCCATTTCCATTTGATTAGTATTCAGGGCAGGATTCCCATAAGGTTGAATGCCAGAAGTTGGTTAACAGCTAGGCCTTGTGTCTTTGCAGGGCTGGAGATTTCCTTTATTGAACTAGTGTCGCCTATTTGCTAATGTTATATTCTCCTTTCAGTGTTACCTGACATTTACAACCAACTGACTATTTTAAATTTCACTTTGTAATAACTCAGTCTGTGGGGGGGGGAGTAAGATCATGTAAAACATTTGGGGTTATAGCTTTTTAATTTTCTTAATCATCTCCTAGAATGCCAACATTAGTGAATTTTCAAAGTATGCTTGCTATTTTCTAAGCTTCAATTTGCATTCCCAAAGAAATATTGAATGAACCATTTCATAAAGCAGCGAGTTTAATCAGTGCCCTAGCCAGCAAACTTGTTGCAATGTAAATTATGCATCTAGTGAATCTGGAGAATTATGATTAGGTTTTCCTGCAATTCAATTATTTTCACTTGTTAGATAATAAATCTATTTTATCTTTAGGCCCTAAAGAGCATGTCCAGATCTGGATTATGAGAAAGAAATGCATTTCTTATAATTATCATAACTTTAGGGAATTACAACTTTTTATATTTTTATGTAAGTTATTTAAAGAATTTGGGGAATCTTCACAGGAGAAGATTCATATCCATTTCTCAGAGAAAACAATGGGCAAGTAATGTCCTTGTCAACCCAAGGGTCAGATATTGAATGGCAACCCGAAAAAGAGTGCAAGCCTTCCTCAAAGGATTATAGTGCCCTAACATACCTGATTTTATATATGTGTGTGTGTACACACTATCAATGGAGGTATAGTTTTATATATTTGTTTATAGATATGTACACACACATACATATATATGAAGTTATCATAGTTAAAGTTTCTGTGTGTGGTAACATTCCCATAGTAAGTGGTACTCATGAAATCAAGCCCATCCCCCATCCCATTATCCCTGAGACTTGCCTGGAGAAGGACAGGTGATGGAGGGTGATTTGCTACAGAAATAACAAGGTCACTTGCTAATGTCAGAACACAACATTCACCAAGGTCACATACTTCAGACACAGATTACCTGCTTCTTTCTACAAGCACATTTCCGCAGTTCCCTTTCCATGCACACATGTGTATACATGCCAGACTCAGAGAGATAGTTAACACAGATCCAGATCCTCTCCTGGAATCATTACCAACTTGTGCTTCAGTGAGTGTGTGGCCGGTTATTACGTGAACCAACTTAACAGTTTCAGATACTAGAACCGAGCTTCTAATGAACCTACAGAATAGTTTTCTGATGTATATGAAATTGTACTTTGTATTTCATTTTCTGCCTTAATGGTTTTCAATTTTAACAGTGCTATATTGATTCTCATTTTTGCCTTTGTTCCCCAAGCTATCAGCAGTTTATTACAATAGGATCCTGCACATTGTTTATCAATTCTAGTACCTGAATATCTACCCACCAACTTACCAACACACACAGCCATGAATTGGGAGAAGCAAGAACTATTCTTCCCCCCTTCTGCGTATAGCAGCTTGTCAGTCCTGAGCCAGAGTGACATCACTTTTCAACACTCATCCTGAGTGGAAGTTGGACTGACTTAAATTCAAACACATCCTATTATAAAAAAATCACTAGGGCTGGAGAGATTGTTCAGTGGTCAAGAACAACACTAAGAGGTCTTCCAGAGGTCCTGAATTCAATTCCCAGCAACCACATAATGGCTTACAACCATCTGTAATGAAATCTAGTGCCCTCTTCAGACCTGCAGGCATACATGCAGAACACTGTATATAATAAAAATATAAAGAAATTTCTTACCAAAAAGCCACAAATTACAAGTATCTTAATAGAACTTGCTACCAAATGCTGTGAAAACTGCCTTCACATAGGTTCTCTCTCTCTCTCTCTCTCTCTCTCTCTCTCTCTCTCTCTCTTTCTCTCTCTCTATCTATCTATCTATCTATCTATCTATCTATCTATCTCTCTATCTCTTCATACCTGGTGAGCCAACTGATGGTTTTGGGCATGATGGTGGCTCTCTTGGCATGGATGGGACACAGATGAATATCGTCAAACAAACTCACCAGATACTACTCTCCTCTAGCCTTCCAAAGCACAGCAGTAGCTGCACTCTGCCTGCCTGGAAATCTCTCACTAGTTCTGGAAAGGCAGCTTTGGGATCAGCTAGTTGTTTTTCTGATTATTCTCTCAATGGTCATGGTCATAGGCCTGTTTTGGTGACATTCTTTGGCCCATTTGTAGAGGGCACACTTCTCCTGTCCAACTTTCCCATCAGTGACCTTAGGAGCAGTTTGATTATATTTCCTTTCACCCAAAGAAACAAAGACAATACTTTCCCAAGTACCATGAAGCCACTCTGTGCCCCTTTTGGTTTCTTTGTATGCTAATTAATGTCAGACCAGGCACTTGATGAAGAAACTAAGTCTGTCTTCCAGCTCTGTATTGGCCTGCCATGATATATCTCCTTTTGTGATGGGAGTACCTGGGTGGCTGACATGAATACTACTGAACACATTCAAATAGACACTAGCTTTCCTTGAGGTGAGTTATAAAATTGATCATTGATTAGCATGGACTTACATTTTGAACCCAAGTCAATTTGTTCAAGAGCAAACGAATTTTTAAAGTTCACCCAGACCCCTAATCGGCTTCAGACTGGTTTGTTCCAAGTTCCAGCTTGGCGCTGGGACTTTGACATACCAGGGGCACGTGAATGAGCACTGGAAGAGGGCTGGAAAATATGGTGTCACAATCTATTTGCCTTTCCTGCCCTTTGCCAATCCAGGAGATGTTGGATTGGGACTAATAGCTCTGTTTGCAGAGAAGGTTTCAGTTCCAGCCTAGTTCTACTCTTGACTGCTGGTGTGGGCTGGAGACAACTGTCCATTAGATGTGTCATTTGGTTAGGTCAGGAGGACTGGGTGGAATCCTCAATGCCAGCGCTCTTCTAAGTGGTGTTTGTGAGGGAGGCAAGAGGAGTAGAGCCACAATGGCGTGTGTACATGTCACTGTTTGGCGGCGGGTGAACGCTGAGCCAGTGTTGTGTAACGGTGTCCTCTGAGATCGAAACATTCCATCCTGCAAGGGAAGCTGCTTAAGCAGGCAATCAGAGATCCCTGTGTCATAGCTTCACATGCCTGCTGTCAGAGATAGACCAGTGAATGGTAATGGGGACCAGGTCTTGTCCTAGAAAGCCCTGCGATGGGTCTCTTTTTACCTTCCCATTGGTTGGAATCACATCACATGTCCAGTCTTTGCTGCAAGAAGTCTGGGAAAGTACAACCCTAGAATATCCAGGCTGTCACGGCTGACAGGTGTTTCTGTAAGATGCAAGGGGTTTGGGAGAGCTAGCTGGGAGAATTGGCTGCAGTGGCCAGTTTTGTTTTTAGGTGGAGCTAGAAATCTGCCTCCTCTGATATCTACCTTTGGTGGTGGTTAAGCTCTGTAAGGCGTCCTTGAAGAAGACTGGGGTATAGCTCAGTGCAGGCTGCTGTCCAGTGTATATCTCATCTCCACACTAACCAACAAGTAAACCATCCAACCCAGAAAGGCTACACACATGACCACAGGATAACATCTCAGCCACTATGGAACCTCTCTGCGATGGTGGTGCCAGAAAGGGTTATGCAGACTGCTGATGGGGAACTGTCACCAGCATCCCTGCTTGACTATGGAGCCTGCATTCTGAAACAGCAGCATGCTAGACAACATGTGCCTGCTGTGCAAGAGCTGGCTCGGCCATCTTGGGTAAGACCAAAAGCCTTCAGACTGGGTTTAAGGCCTGCTCCACAAGAGGGAATTCATCTCTAGGACTGTAAGCCAGGACAAAAGCTCATGGCTGGGGAGGTCACAGGTTGCGGTGGGAAGTAACTTCTATGGTTTTTACTATGTGGGTGTGATGAGCCTGTCAAACTGCCCTCTAAACGTTTATTTTTACACTCATAGGCCATAGATCACAGCTGTCAACCTCAACTCAGAGTGACTGGTGAATCTCCTGAACAAGCAACTGTTTCTTAGAGGTAGATGAACATCTATACAGTTACTCCCCCTCCAAGGCTTGGTGATCTCTGTGGAGGAAGGGGCAGAAAGAATGTGAGCGATGAAGGAAGGGGTAGAGAGATTTGTAACAGTTTTCTCCAAGATTGAAGAATTCCAATGTATAGAGAAGTTCCTCGAGCAGGAAGGTAAACAACTCAAGGTAGCTCCAGGAAGTCCCTGAAACTGACCAGAATCACTAGGCCCCTCCTTGCAAGAAGTAGGCAATCAAACCAGAGAGTCCGTCTGACACTAGCGGAACAGAGCTGCTAAGCCTAGACCAGCTTCCTGGAAGAAGGAAAAACCAGCTGAGCTGCCTGGAAGAGGGTTAAACCAATGGAGGCACCTGGGAAGGACACTCTCCAACCTGCGGAGTGGCCTGCAGGCTGTACAATGTTCCTAGCTCTAAAAGCTGTCACCCATGCTGGGGTGGGCTTTGGTGATGCAACTGTCTTTGAGTCATTTCTGTTTCTGTAAGTAAACCCAATAAAATTCACTGGCTCACCAAGTTGGACTTCGCTGGTTATCTGTACTTTGTTCTGTTGGCGGTTCTCTATCTGGGGTGAGTAGATGTGAACGTTGCATCTCCCCAGAAAAAAATTTTGTCACACAACAGCCAGACATGGTTCTAAAAGGAGTCACCTAGATGAAGTTGGCAGTTCTGTTTGTGAGCAGGTAGAACCTCTTTGAACAAGTATTGTCTTTATAGTTTAAAAAGAAATGCTCCTGTATGCCACTTTTCATAAATATTTCCCAAATAAAACAATGTTCTGTTCAGTTACAATATGATAGACAGCTAAAGAGAAAAAAAATACTTGTTTTAAATCATCCTAATTTTTTTTTCCGATACAGTAGCTTTTTTTTTTAATCTCGTAGCCAAGCTACCCTCAGATTTGCTCAGTGGACAAAGATGGCCTTGATTCTGATCCTCCTGCTTCCATCTCCCAGGTGCTAGGAAGCATTGCAAGGTGTTCACCACCATGTCCAGCTTATGCAATACTGGGAACTAAACCCAGGGCTTCATGCATGTTAGGTAAGCAAATTAACTCAAACCTATGATTTTTGCTAGGGAAAGTTACATTAAAAAACAAAACAAGGTCTGGTGTAGTAGCACTCTCAGAGACAGACAGATCTCTGTGAGTTCCAGGCCAGCCTTGTCTACAAAGTGAGTTAGTTCCAGGACAATGTTACACAGTGAGAGACCCAGGACCCAGAAGATTCCTGAACTGCAGCCCCTACACAGACCCTGAACAGCTTGGCTCTGAGCTCCAACCCAGTGAAAGAAACATACCCCAGATTTGGGACCTGAGCCAGTGAAAAAGACACTTTATCCCTAAATCTGGAGCCAGGGAAAAATACCCTAATCTGAAACACACCCTGCTCCTAGAATCTTCCTCTAAAATTGGAGCCTAAAAGTCAAAAAGAACCATAGAAATAAATGCAGTTTGACCTTGAAATCGGAGCCATTTCTGCCCCTGACACAAAACCAAACCATCTCTGAGCAGGGAAAACTGACCAATCCTTGAGTAGTAAGGGGGGGGGGGTAACCTTTGGGGGGGGCAGTGAAGTAGTAACCACTAATCTAGAGGCATGATTCCCCATAGACTTTCAGCCTAGGGAAGTAGTAACCCCTGACCTAGAACCTACTTTGACCTTTTCTAGACCTTAGCCCATGGGGGCAGCCAATCCCAAGCCTGCAGTCTTGGAATTCCCCCATGGGGACAGCCAATCCCAAGCCTGCAAGCTTGGAATCCCCCAAATCTTCCCCTCTGTAAAAATCCCCTTCCCTCCCTGGTCTGGGTCGTTCCTGTTCGGCTCTTGTCACTGTTGTTGTGCTGCTGTGTCATTGCTGCCATTGTTGTTTCAGGCAGACAGAGGGACCCAAGTTAACTCGAAAATAAAGGTTCTTTGTTTTTGCATTGGAGTTGGTTTCATGGAGGTGATTTGTGTTCTGAAATACACAGAAAAACACTATTTCAAATAACCAAAGGCCAAGCAAACAAACAAAAGCAAAAACAAAGCAAACAAACAAAACAAACACTTGCATTTTTATGGTGACTTTCTGTTTGGAATTGGTGTTTTGTTGATGTTATTTGTTTGGAGACAGGCTCTCATCTAGCCCAGGATGACCCTTGAACTCACAATCATCCTCCAGCCTCAGTCTTCTGTGTGCTAAGATCACAGGCAAGCAGTGCTATCCCCAGTTTAAACAGTGCTGGAGCTTGAGCTCAAGGCTTCCTAAATGCCAGCCAGACAAGCACTTTACCGCTATGGCGGTTTGAATGTAATTGACCCCCATAATCTCACAGGGAGTGGCACTATTAGGAGGCGTGGCTTTGTTGGAGTGGGTATGGCCTTGCTGGAGGAAGTGTATCACCGTGGGAGCAGGCTTTGAGGGTTCCTATGCTTCCATTGTCTCAATCAACTTACTATTATTGCCTGTAAAATTCTCAGCTATTTCTCCAGTACCATGTCTGTCTGCATGCCACCGTGTCTCGCCGTGATGACAATGCCAACACCTCAATTAAATGTTCTCCTTTATAAGAACCCCTGTGGTGGTGGTGTCTCTTCACAGCAATAGAACATTGACTAAGACACTAGTCCCCAGCCCTACATGGTGCCTTTGAAACATTTTCTTTTACTCTTCCTATTATTTCAGAACGAGGTTATCAACATGCCCAACTTTACAGAATGAAGATGGGACTGTGGGGTAAGTGGCATGCCACAAAGGAGGCATCTAACAGATAAGTGGAACGGCCACACCCTCAGTTCACATTCCACGGGACCCACCCTGGCGTCTCTCACTAGTGTTTAAAAGTTGGGGGGCTTTGTTCATTTGTTTAGAGACAGAGTTTCTCTGTGTAGTCCTGGGCTGTTTTAGAAGTCACAGAGATCTGTCTGTCTCTGCCTCCTGAGTGCTGAGATTAAAGGTGTGCCCAGCATTAGTTTAAAGTTTTAAGTTCTATTTTAATTTTGTGTGTTTGGGTGTTTACCTTCATGTATGTATGGGAACCACATATGTGCCCATTGCCTGCAGAAGCCAGAAGAGGTTTTGGAGCTCCTGTAGCTGGAGTAGAAGAGAAGGGGAGAGAAAGGTATGGATAGGCACATCTACTCGGACACAAAGACATTTTTTTCAGGCTCACGTAGTAAATTTCACCTTTGAAAGCAGAAGACAAAATTACTCTGGCTTTCAAAACCAGTAAATTAAGATTAAAAAGTCAGTTAAACCCTCAAAATATTTTCAAAGACATTTTTGATTTTGAATGAAAACATGCTTTTATTCCTTACATTGTTTGAAAGCCTAATAAGCAGCTCTTGCTGTGGACAGCTCCATTTAGGCCTCTAATTTTGAGACCATTCATACTAAACTGCATTCCCAGCATTTACATCTGACGCCACAAACATCCAATAACCAAAGGAGCCTAAGACTTGGAAGAAAAGCTTCAGAGTTCATTTCTGTCATCCAGGTTGATGAAATCAGAAATAAATATCAGTTGCATCAATAAAGATGGGAGGGGAGATGGCTGCGCTTTCCTCCTGTTCCTCATTTGCAATCCAGAGTCATTCTTAGCCTCGTCACACAAATGTTCATCGCTGGAACAAGAATTCAAACTCACCTCTAGAAGAACAGATGACCTGGGAAGTGTTGTTCAAAATAACTTTTGAGGGCTCGACATGCATTTGACAGCTCCTGCTTCATTTTAAAATTGTACTGGTTTGTTTGCTTAGATGGTCTCCTTCTCCTTCTCGTCCCTCTCCCTCTCCCTCTCCTCCTTCTCCTCCCTCTCCCTCTCCTCCTTCTCCTCCTTCTCCCTCTTTTTTTTTGTGGTTTATCTCTGCCGTTACTGTGTGTACACTTGTGTGGTTTATGTGTGTGGTTGCCTGCACCACAGCATCCATATGGAAGCGAGAGGTCGACTGTGCAGAGTCCATTCTCTTTTCCCAAGTGAATGTGGGTTTTGGGAACTGAACTTGATTCCTTAGGCGTTTGCAGCAAGCAACCTTTGCCCCCTGAGCCAGCAGTGGCTTAGATTGGCATAGGAGAAACAATACGCTGATCTAAAGAGAGATGGGATAACCGTACTGACTCATGCTGTGTGAATGCATAGGTAGGTGGCCCTGGTGCTGAGCACAGGGGACCTGACTGAAGTGTTCCCATTAGAGAAGTGCAGATGTGGTCCTGGATCAGCCCTGAAGGACCGTTAGCACTGTGGACAGCAAAGGTGCTGCGGACAGCGGTCAGGAGGACAACAAACGCGGCTCAGGAAATGGCGCCATTGACCAGAGAGGCACTGAAGCAAAGCAACCACAGGGCAGAGGAGAATGTGAAGAGGAAGCAGAGAGACATGCTTGGACGCCAGAGCGTTGCATCGGGGGACTGGCTGAGGGTGCTAACGTTGATGGTTGGTAATGTGAAAGCCACATCTTAGCAGGTTATGCTGACAGCAGTGTGTCAGAACTGTCAGAAGTGTACACCTGCATTGTTAGGAAGGAAGCTGGGAATAGCATAGTGGGTTAGGGTATAGGGTACTACCGCAATAGTCCAGGCGTCTGCCCATGAAGATAGCGGTAGATAGAGAGATCGCCTAAGTAAAAGAAGATATAACACAATCAACAGCATTTTGACATTTGTGCGACTATGTCATCAACAGAACCAGTGGTTCAAAACCTTTTCATTAAAGCTGGGCACACCTTTAATCACAGCACTCAGGAGGCAGAGGCAGGCGGATCTCTGTGAGCTCAAGTCCAGACCGGTCTACAGAGTGAGTTACAACACAACCAGCTACACAGAGAAATCCTATTTCAGAAAAAAAAAGTTTTTCATCATATTTTTCTCCTCTCCTTCCTTCCACCCTTCCCCAGAGAGAGGGAGAGACAGAGAGAGAGAGAGAGAGATGGGGAGAGAGAGTGTATGTGTGTGTGACGGGAATATGTATGATTGAACCATATGTGGGTATACTTGTCCGTATGTCATACGGAGGTCAGAGGTTGATTTTGCCTTTCTTCCTTTTCTTTCCACTGTATCTCTCGTGACTCGTCCAACCCACCATCTTGGCTAGACTTGCTGTACAGTGAGTCCCGGGAACCTCTCTGTCCTGTTCCCCTCCCCTAGTCAGCGCTGGGGTTACAGGTGTGTTCTGACAAGCCCAGCTGTTATGTGATGCTGGGATCTGAACTCTGTTCTCCCTGCTTTGGCAGCAAGCCCCTTTACACTGAGCTACCCCCCACAGCCCTGTAATACTGCTTTCTGCCTTGAGCACTTTACTGTATCCATTCTTAAAGCTTCCGAGCACGCGAGATTGCTACCGCCCTTCTCCAGAGGCAGTTTAGAGCGGGCTTTGTAATGGAGGCGTACGGGCCTCACCCTGAGATCATCTCTGGAACAAAGCAGGGAATACATAGGCTGGCCCACTGCTCCTGACAAAGAACCGCCTGGCTACATGCATGCACGCAAGCAGAGGGAGCTGGATTCCTACTTGGTTTGCTATTTTAGTTCGTTCTTAG